TCTGAATCAACACGATAACCTGTTTCTGGCTCTGTCATGAACAGGTGTTTGAATGCTTCTGTTGGGTCAAAATCAGCTTCTTCATTCGTGGAGGAAGAGATGATTGGTGCCACAATAACAATGGATGCCGAAAGGGTATTCGATTGAGTCAAAGACCATAAGAAAGAAGAAATAGGGTTTATTTCCTCTATTCATAAAAATTTGGGTGGCCTTGAGGAGGCAACCATAGGCGTGTCTTCTGGGTGTTCTTTTGTACCACTGGAGGAGGCTATCTCAGTTCTTTCAAGGTCTTGTTGAGATCTGACAGGAACCAAAGTAGGTTTGCTTGACCTTTTTTCCTTTTCTGAGGCCCATAACATAACTAATGGGGATGTCTGGATGAATGGTGATGAGGGAAGTGGCTGTGGATCAAATGCAGTTCCAATATAGGAAGTGGAAGGTAACCTCCATGGATCTTCATCAAGGGTTGATAATCTTTTTTGTTTGTGCTGTCTCTCAAGATCCGTAAGTTGAGCTTTTAGGAACTTTATTTTTGACTCTTTTTGGGTGAGAGAGTTGGAGGTTGGTGAAGGGCTACTCTGAACTATCTGGATAAGCTCATTGTGGAGTCCTTGTATCTTAAATTTGATCTCTGTGATCATACCTTCAAGAGTCTGCACTTTCGTCGTAAGAACCTCTTGTGTCCTTGTCAGCTTCGTTTGTTGTGCCAAAATAGTTTTGAGAACTTTGTTTTGGGCAACAACATTTTCACTTTGCCAATTTAGAGTGGCTTCAGCATGACTAACTGTGGCGGGGTTTCCAGAGGAACTTATGGTCATGGGAGTTCTGATCTTCCAATCGTGCCTTGTTTGTTGGTGGGGATGTTCGAAAGGACTGAGTGATGGAAATTCTTCCTGATACTCAGATGGGGTTGTTGGGGTTATAACACAACATTCGCTATGGGACTGGGTGGGGGGTTTATGAGAAGGCGATGTATGGCAGGGTTTGAGGGTTGGGTTTGGTTTGGAAGGTGAGTTTCCATACAGAACATAGTAATCGAATTTGCCTGATGGTTCACCTAGGAGTCCAACAGCTGGATCTCCTGCCTCGTATCTCTTTTTTAACTTTCGCTGAGAACCCTTTTGGGGAATATCTTCATCGTAATCAACTTTGTATGCTTCGTCCAAGCAATCTTGGCAGTTGCATACGTCGTACCAACAATGTTTTCGCAATGATGTCGATGATTCTATTGGCTGGATCATGCCGATAGTTGGGAATATGTCCGACTTTGATTCTTTGTTCGAGAATTTGACTTCAACCATTCCATTTTCATGGCAGATGAAATCTGGAGCCGTGTTTGTTTGAATAGGGGCTTGATGGATCTGCTCGTAATTGGTTACCCATTTTTTTGGTAGGATTTTGAGTAATTCTTCTCTGGATAACTGTCTTGGAACATATGTTCATGTTGGAGTGGCACTTGAATTGACATCAATAAGCAAGGCGTCTCCTGCGTGTTCCTGATCTGGAACCATAATGTCCAAAGAGTGGTTCTGAACCCGATATGCCATTTGATAGTGAAAGGTTGCCTGGAAGGTGTTAACTTGGGCAGTTCCACCTATCTGTATCTGGGCTTTGAGGGCTGTATGTATTGAGGGATCATTGAGAGGCATATTAAAGTTTGGGTAAAAAGTGACAATTTTTTCAGCCCCATTAGAGCTGAAAGAATTGGCGACTCAATTGAAGGATCTACTTGACAAAGGTTTTGTTAAACCAAGTACTTCACCATGGGAAGCTCCGGTTCTATTTGTTAAAAAGAAGGACGGATCAATGAGAATGTGTATAGATTATCGGGAGCTTAACAACATGACAGTTAAGAATAAATATCCATTACCCAGGATTGATGATTTATTTGATCAATTAGTTGGGGCCAGTTACTTCTCAAAGATTGATCTGCGATCCGGATATCATCAACTGAAAGTCAGAGAAGAAAATGTTCCTAAAACTGTGTTCAGAACAAGATATGGACATCATGAATTTTTAGTGATGCCTTTTGGCCTAACCAATGCACCAGCAGCCTTCATGGACCTGATGAACAGGGTGTGCAATGAATATCTTGATAAGTTTGTTATTRTWTTCATYKATRATATTTTGATATACTCCAAATCAGAAGCAGAACATGCAGAATATCTTCACCTGATTCTGAGTCTCTTGAGGAAAGAAAAGTTGTATGCCAAGTTATCAAAATGTRAATTTTGGTTAAGGGAAGTCCAATTCCTTGGCCATGTTGTGTCACAAGAAGGAATCAAAGTGGATCCATCAAAAATCGAAGCAGTAAAAAAATGGGATACACCAAGAAATCCTTTAGAAGTCAGAAGTTTTCTAGGCTTGGCCGGTTATTATCGCAAATTTATTCAAGATTTTTCAAAAATAGCGGTACCTCTGACCAAGTTGACTCAAAAAGACATCAAGTTTCATTGGGCCGAAGAACAAAGAAGGGCCTTTCAAACCTTGAAAGATCGCTTGTGTAGTGCACCAGTTCTATCTCTACCCGATGGAATAGAAGATTTCATTATTTATAGTGATGCATCGAAGCTTGGCTTAGGCTGTGTTTTGATGCAAAGAGAAAAGGTAATCACATATGCATCACGACAACTGAAAGATCATAAGAAGCAGTACCCAACACAGGACATGGAATTAGCAGCTGTAGTTTTTGCCTTAAAAATTTGGAGGCACTATTTGCTAGGAACAAAGTGCAAAATTTATACAGACCACAAAAGCCTTCAACACTTGTTCAACCAGAAAGAGTTAAACATGAGGCAGCATCGATGGATAGAACTAGTCAATGATTATGACTGTGAAATTCTTTACCATCCAAGGAAAGCTAATGTTGTAGCTGATGCTTTAAGCCGAAAAGAAAGAAGTGGGACTATCAAAACTGTGGCGATGAAAATAATTGTAAAACCAGATTTTCATACGAACATTCAAAGATGTCAAGTAGAGGTTATTAAAGAAGATCATTCAAAGGTCGAAAGATTGGGAAAAATGATTGCTAACCTAGAGAAGAACAATAAAGAAATTTTATGCTTCCAAGGACGAATCTGGATACCACGCTATGGGAATATTCGTGATATAATTATGAAGAAAAGCCATGAATCTCGATATTCCATTCATCCAGGTACTAATAAAATGTATAAAGATTTGAAAACTTTTTATTGGTGGCCAGGACTAAAGAAAGACATAGCAAGGTATGTGGAAAAATGTATGACGTGCCTACAAGTAAAGATAGAGCATCAGAGGCCCTATGGAAAACTGCAATCCTTGGAAATTCCTGTTTGGAAATGGGATCACATCACAATGGATTTTATTATGAAGTTACCCMGAACCCCAAAARGGTATGATGYCATATGGGTAATAGTGGATCGTCTATCCAAATCTGCACACTTCCTACAGATAAAAGAAAGTTATTCATTGGAAAAGTTAGCTCAGATTTATATTAAGGAAATTGTGACAAGACATGGGGTCCCGCTATCTATCATCTCAGACAGAGATAGCAGATTTACATCGAAATTCTGGGAAAGTTTTCAAAAGGCATTAGGATCCCAAATTCGATTAAGTACAGCATATCATCCTCAAACAGACGGACAAAGTGAAAGAACAATTCAGACACTTGAAGATATTCTAAGAGCTTGCATCATAGATTTTGGAGGATCATGGGAAGATCATCTTCCACTAATAGAATTTGTATACAATAATTGCTATCATTCCAGCATCAAAGCGACTCCATATGAAGTGTTGTATGGTCGGAAATGCCAAACCCCTGTATGTTGGAATGAGGTGGGTGAGAAACAACTAACAGGTCCTGAAATTGTGCAAGTAACTTCTGAAAAGATTGATCAGATTCGGGAAAGAATTAAAACAGCTCAAGACCGTAAGAATAGCTATGCAGATAAGCGCAGAAAATCAATTGAATTTTGCGTAAATGATTTAGTAATGTTGAAAGTTTCTCCCTGGAAAGGAGTTATGAGGTTTGAAAAAAAAGGAAAACTCAGTCCAAGATATATTGGTCCATTCAGAATCTGTAAACAAGTTGGGCCAGTAGCTTACCAATTGGAATTACCAAAGGAACTTAGTCTGATTCACAATACTTTCCATGTGTCAAATAGGGATGGCAAAAAAACCCGCACCCGATGGGGAATCCGATACCCGTACCCGATTTGACCGGGGAATCCCCGAGTTGACCAGGGACGGGGATGGGGAATCCCCAAATTTAAAAACGGGGATGGGGGCGGGGATGGGAGTAACCTTCGGGTCCCCGGCCCCGAAATATATATATATATATATTAAATGTTACCCCGATTCCCAATTTCAATATACAAGATCTTTTCAATTTATTTTCCCATATTCCCTAATTTAAAATATATATGGAATTTGAAAAGACTACTAGACTTTGGAAAGTGCAAATAATTATCAATTCCTTTTTGGAACTACCAATAGTCGGCTAACAAAAAGAAAAATTAGGAGAGGTTCAAGGTCCATCATCAAGAGTTGGAATCCATTAACAAAAAGAAAAATTAGGACTTAGGAGAGGTTCAAGAGTTGGAATCCATTTGTGATTGTGTCTGCAAGTTTTTTGAGTTCAATTCCTCACCTTTTATTGATTGAGAATGTTTTAGGTAAATAAATTTTCTTTATTCTTGTTATATCAATTGGTTATCTATGATTTTCTTTATCTTGTTGTATCTTCATTTGTTTATGCATGTCCTTTCTCAATGTATCATTATTCATCTATGATTCTTTTGGGTACTGATTTTATTTAGGTTAATAATATATTGTATGAGCTGAAATATAGTTTTATATCATGATATTTTAGCTTTTGAAATACGATGTGAAATATAGTGTATATTACGATTTTTTAGACTAATAAAATATAAGAAGATATTCTTTAGTGTTTTCTATTTACAGAAGACTTTGATTGGTTATGGGTACATAGTTTGTTTGTGATTTTTCTATTTTTTGTTAGAATGACTTCGGAGGCGAATAACAATCCAGAACAGTCAACACCAATCGGCAATGCAAATATACAAGATAATGCAACAACTAACAATGTTGAAGAGGTAGTTGACACAAATGCTCAACAACATCCTCAAAATAAGAGAAAAAGAAGTRTGGYGWGGGATCATTTTGTACAACTGACAGTGAATGGACAAGTCAAGGCACAATGTAACCATTGTAGGGCTTTACTTGGAGGTAAATCAAAAAATGGCACTAAACATCTACTCGATCATATGAAAGTGTGCAAAGCTAAGAATCAACCAGACATTCGACAAAGACTCTTGGCAAGCAACTTGAAGTCCGATTTAACGACATACGTTTACAATGAGAAAGATGGACGAAATGCTCTTGCTAAAATGGTCATTTTACACGAGTATCCTCTTGCAATTGTTGATCATATCKGCTTTAAGACTTTTACAAGAACCATTCAACCACTATTCAAGTGTCCTTCTCGCAACACACTGAAGAACGATATCATCAAGTTGTATGAGCAACAGAAAGATCAAGTTATTAAAGATTTGGAAAATAATGGAAGTAGAGTGGCTATTACAACCGATATGTGGACTTCAAGTAATCAAAAGAATGGGTTTATGGCCATCACGGCTCATTTCATTGATAATGAGTGGATTCTAAGAAGTAAAATCTTAAGGTTATAATATTTGTTTTATAAGTTTTTTTAATAACACATTATGATATTTATAAAATATATTCAAGTATTGTAATTGAATCTTTTGTCTTTCAATCAGGTTTCTTTATGTGCCTTGCCCACATACAAGTGAAGTTCTTACAAATGTGTTGATGGATGCGCTCATGGAATGGAATGTGGATACAAAATTATCAACGATCACTCTTGATAATTGCACGACCAATGATTCAATGATTGGTAAGTTGAAAGATAAATTGCAAGTAAGTAAGTTGATTCATGAKGGAACTCATATTCACATGCGTTGTTGTGCGCATATTTTAAATCTTGTTGTGAAAATTGGGTTGGATGTAATTAAGGTTGCAATAGAAAATGTACGTGAAAGCGTGTTCTTTTGGACTGCAACGCCTAAAAGAGTTGAGAAATTTGAGGAAACATGTAGGCAACTAAAAATAACATACTCTAAGAAATTAGGTTTGGATTATCCAACTAGATGGAATTCTACTTTTTTGATGCTTAAAACCGCGTTGATGTACAAAGATGTTTTTACACGGTTAAAACAATGTGAGTCACTCTGCAAGACCTTGCCAAGTGCACTAGAGTGGGAAAATGATCAGGTAATTTGTGGGAAGTTGGAGTTATTTTATAAAGTTACTTCAATATTTTCTKGAACAAGATACCCCACAGCTAATTTGTACTTTCCCAAAATTTGTGAGATGAGGTTATCATTGTCCAAGTGGCTTATATCTTCTAAGAAACTCACAAGTGATATGGCATCTAAAATGATTGATAAGTTTGATGGTTATTGGGGTGTAATTCATGAGTTAATGGGTGTTGCTGCAGTCTTTGACCCAAGAAACAAGTTGGAAATGGTTGAGTTTTATTTTAATCTTATATATCCTAATGATAGTAAGAGTCGGATTGAAAAGGTTGAAAGCCTTTGTAAAGACTTGGTAAGTGAATACCAAGAAAAGACCTTACAAAGTGGAAATGAGACAGGAGATAATATGGGGTCAAGTTCTACAAATTCAATAAATGGTGATGAAGATTTGTCTGCTTGGGAAAGACATATTTTATCACAAAGTAGTACTACACAATTTGTTGTGAAAACAGAATTTGATCGTTATTTGGATGAAGGAATTGAACCCTAATCTCAAGAATTCGATATTTTGTTATGATGGAAGTTAAGAGCGGCTAAGTATCCTGTTTTGCAAGCAATTGCTAGAGATATATTAGCTATTCCTATCTCTACAGTTGCATCAGAATCTGCATTCAGTGCTAGCGGAAGATTGATTAGTCCACACCGGAGCAGACTTCATCCAAATACAATAAGCATTAATGTGTGCGCAAAGTTGGTTGTGGGAAATCGTTAACAAAGGTAACTTTATATATTAAAAAGTCTTGAATATTGATTAAATTGTTTAATAAAATATATATGTTTTTTTAACATTATTACTCTTTGTTAAAGATGAAGGTGCAACGTTTACTTCAGATAACCATGCAACCATTTTTGATGATTATGATGTTTCATGTTGAAGGTAATCATACAACTACATTCTGTTGTTGGTTTTTGTTATAGAATTTGATTCATATGTCGATTATACACACGAAGGATATGTTWAGTGTTCTTATTGGATGTTTGAATCGTTATTGGTTTGTTAGTGAAGAGTTGAAGAATTAAAGTAGTGAAGATTGAAGATTTCAAGTGAAGAAGATTTGAAGATTAGAAAAACTT